ACACAGTGGCCAACACTCGAGGTGGAGAAAAGAGTTTGAGGAAAAATAGATGCTTCTTGGGGTCCTAAGAGGACCCTGTCTGCAGTGACGCACACAGCCAGCCACCTTGCAAGGCCCCGTTTGGTGCTTCTGGTATGAGATCCATGGACATCAACAGTCCTGGTGCATTAGCAGGTGTTCCGATGGAAGGGCCTGTAGCCATGTCCGAGGGCGATGAGTGCCAGAACTCCTCCCAGCCGCTGTGCCTGGCGGTGTGGGCCTGGGAACCACCTCAGTGCCTGGCTTGTGCGGGCAACACATCTCTCTCGGCCTTGGCTCCCCTGCGAAACACACACATCACTCAGTGCTCACCATTTGTTCTCCTGGCAGCATTGTGGCGAGAGAGGTTTATAGGAGATTAGCAGCAAAAAAATAAATAAATACTTAAAAAAACACACACATGAAAGAGACAGGTGTGTCTTTTTTCAAACAATCCGCAGCCACCTCCCTTCGCTCCCCCCTCCCTTGTACGCCTGCACTTTGCATGACTTGTGCCCGGGGTGGATGTGCCTGCGCCTGCAAGAACCGCTTCATGTAGACATCACACACAAAGCCCTCCACCGGCTTTGCACACGGCCGGCTGCAAGGCTGTCGCATCAAGATGCCTGCATTTTCTTCGCAAAACTCTCCAGTCCCAACATGTTTGCGAAGCGTGATTCATGGTGTTTCTCTCTGGATTGTCCAGTGGGTAATTGCTGTGCGAGAACCAGGGAAACAGATGTAGACCCTGAACCCTGGCTATAAATTTTTGTTTTATGATTATGGGTTTCAAATGTGCTGTGTCACCCTGACAAATACACGGTTACTCTGAAGCACAATGGCTTTCGGCCTCAAACTTTTGCTTTTCTGTGTGGGGTTGGAAGTGTGTGTTTGTCAGGGTTTCTTTGTATTGTGGGTCAAACACAAAGGAAATGCAATAACGTCATTTTGTTCGTGTGATTTCGTTGTGATGTTGATGAAATGTCTCGGGAACGTAACTCTTATTCCTATCACTTAGCCGATGGGAAAACTGGTTTTGTTAAACATTGTTTCACTTAGAAAAAAATTTTGACAACAAGAGTGAGGGCTTACTGTACAGGAAATGACATATATCCAGATCTTACTTTATGCTGTACCAGGAGGATATCTGGGAGAGGTTTTGTCTAACTGATTAATGTTTAAAAGAGGTATCAATAATTTAAACTTCGTTATCAAGAAATTAACGAGGCCATTTGTCTTCTACCTAGTCATTCATCTTTTTAGTACGCGGGTACGTATTTAAAGAATTGTGGTTTATTTGTGTGTCTTTCCTTGACTTTACTTAAGTTGAGAATTTGGAGTAGGAATCAAGTTTCCAAGAAGGGTAAGAATTAGATTTACTGATGAAGAAATGATAAAGGAACATGCAGCTAAATTGTGGGGCTGCTTTATAAATGAATACTTAGGTTAAATAATAGTTCTCATAATTGCGTTCAGCATAATTAATTCATGATGAGAAAAGATTAACCGACTAAAGACGGTGGCAGTAGAAGACACCCATAGTAGTCTGTTCATCAGGATTTAAACGCTGATCGCTCATTTCAAGGCCCCAGTATATTTCTTTACACTTAAGACGTCTTAAAGGCAATTATAAATTTTAAATATTCTTGTGCAAGAGAGAGAGAGAGAGAGAGAGAGAGAGAGAGAGAGAGAGAGAGAGAGAGAGAGAGAGAGAGAGAAAACAACCAAATCTTCCAGCTCCTGCTCTGAGCATACTTTGTTATTGTTTTTGTGTTATGACATGGTATGGAGGGAAGAAATTTGGGAGCAGGTATACCCTCTCGAGATGAGACAGATCCTCTAGCTTAAGAATTGGGGATGATCAGAATTCAGGGGACACTAACCCATCTTCATTTCCCCTGGGACCAGTGCCCCCTAGCCTTTGGCAGGATATTGAGGGGGGAAGTGCAGGGGCCTCTCCTGGGAGCAGATACCTGTACACACACCTGGCAGCGCTGCCCGATCTCACCCACTAGTTCCTTCTTTCTGTCCTTTAAATAGAGATACACCCTCCTCTCTCCCCCAAAAAACTGTTCCCCCATGTCCAGGAGCTGGTCTAAAAGGAGCCCAGTTTCCAAGGAACTCTGAGGGCCTTCCTTAAACATCTGGAGCCATAAGTCTCAAGGACCCCATAGAAATGGCCCCATAATAACGGTGCCTTGTGATTCTTTACAACTATCTTAACAACAGGGTGTTAAATGTTTTGTCAAGTCCTCCATGCTCCTTGCTCAAAATGTGTGTTTTCTTGGTAGTGAAAGGGTTTCTTATAATACAGCTCTGTTACAACATGAGAATGATATAAAACAAGAGAGAAATAGAGAGAGAGAGAGAGAGAGAGAGAGAGAGAGAGAGAGAGAGAAGAGAGAGAGAGAGAGAGGAACTAAGTACATAGATTCAGTAAAATCTCGAGCCTTTATCACCCTGGACTTTTCAATAGCAAGGTCTGAGCTTGCTGGGCTGAAAATTGTTTTAATGTGCCTTCATAAAAGGACCTTGGACTTGGGAAGTGTGTGCGATGCATACTTTTCATGTTACACCACAAGTGCCACTTAGCAACTCCGCTAGATGGTATTGGGGGGAAGGGGGTACCCCCTGACAGGCTTTGTGAAAGCCTGGATGCCAATGCACATTCCAGCACTGCCCACAGAAAGGGGAGCAGTGTTCCCCACTGCAAGGGGCAGGCAGGCTGTCCCCTCACCCACCCTGCTTTGCGGGAGAATCATGAGTAAATATGGGAGAGGCAGGGGAAGAGGTAGGGTGTCTTCATTCCTCCCAGACTTTCCTTCCTTTGAAGTACAGGTGCACCCTTTGAGCAAGTTTTGCAGAATGACTGTAGGGTGGGTTGGCTGTCCATCAAAGCTCGCTGTCAGCCAGTTTATTTGTAAATATCACACCTGTCCCTCTTCATGTTTTCAGACTTAAAAAGCTTCTCCCTCCTCTCGGTAGGGTCAGTGGAGGAAGTTACAGAAATCATTCTTTTTCTCTTAAAACGGTTCTAAATAAATAGCCAGATTGGGGAGGAGCTCATATTGGTGAAAATTGGTCCTTGCAAATACAAAACTCTCTCACTTAACCAGTTTTCAAATATATATATTTTTGGGGGATGGAGGGGGGGCGTGATTGTGTGATGAGAGAGGCTGCCGAAATATGCTATCAGGGTGCAAGGCTGTGGGAACAGCATAGTAATTTCTGCATTAGACAGGGATTCCGGGGAGCTGGGTTTTAGTCGTGACTCTAAACTGTATTACCTTAGGCAGGTCTGAGCTCCTCTGGGCTTTTCTTTCCCTAGTTGGAAAATAAGAGAGGCCCTGGTTGGGTGGCTCAGTTGGTTGAAGCGTTGACCGGATACACCAAGGTTGCGGGATCCACCCCCGGTCAGGGCATATACAAGAAGCGGCCACTGAATGCATACATAAGTGGAACAACAAATCATAGTTTTTCCTTTCTCCCTCTAAAATATCAATAAATATATATTTAAAAAAAATAATAATAAGAGGAACCCACCAAGGTAGATAGTAGCATATTCCCATTTTACAGATGAGAAAACTGAGGCCCAGTGTTTAAATTCATGTCCCAGATCACACAGCTGGTGAGTGATGAAATTGGGTTGGACTTGGGCATCTGGTTCAGTTTTACTCCCACATCCATGCTCTTGGGCACTTTATATTTTTGCTCAGGGCAGGACCTGAAGTCCCCTACATCCCTGACTGTGTGTGTGTGTGTGTGTGTGTGTGTGTGTGTGTGTGTGTGTGTTTGGGACAGGAGTAACTGTCTTGACTACTCCCTACGCTGAAAAGTAACCGAATCCAGAAAGCCAGCTCTTTTACTCCAGAGCAAACGCAATGCCAGGGCTTGCGAGAGGTGACAAGGAGAAAAACATTATGAAACGGAAAGTTTCTCCTCTCCAGGCTTCCCCGAGGGGTAGCCTTCCCTCTTCTGCAGCTTGGGGCTTGCCTGCGCTTTTTCGGGGAGTGGAAAAACACATAAGTTACAAGGAACTTCACCGACAGAGAGGCGCAGGGAGGAATGCACGGGGTGGGCTGGGGGGCCAGAGGGTGGGCGGGAGGCGAGAAGGAGGTGAGGGGGGAACGGGGCGCTTGCGAGCTCAGCGGCTGCAAAGAAAAAAAGGCGAAAAGGGGGGAGAGAAGTTGGTGCTCAGCGGGAGCCCGGAGCGGCGCCCGGGCTCCTCCCCGGGCTCGTTTTAAAAAGCACTTTCTTGCATTGTTTTTTAAGGTGAGAAATGGGGAAGAAAGAGCCGGCTTGCATGCTCGCTCGCTGCCTGTCTCTGGGCTGTCTGCGTGTGCAGGGCTGCTGGGAGTGTCTGAGCTCTGTGAGAATCCTGGGAGTTGGTGATGTCAGACTCGTTGGGTCATTTGAAGGTTAGCAGCCCGGGAAGGGTTCACGGAAAGTTCACTCGCATATATTAGGCAATTCAATCTTTCATTCCGTGTGACAGAAGTAGTAGGAAGTGAGCTGTTCGGAGGCAGGAGGGTCTATTCTTTGCCAGAGGGGGGGAACCAGAATTCCCCCGTGCGCGCCGTTTGAGGACTGGGATGCGGAGGACGCGAGCGAGCCGGGCAGGGCTGGCCTGGGCACCGTCGGGGTAGGATCCGGACCGTATTCTGCATTCGGGAGGCTTTCTGCACGCCTTGGCTCCGAAGGAGAACTTGGGATCTTTGCTGGGAACCCCCTCCACCCCGGCCCCGGGCTGGATTGGCCGAGCGAGCCTGGAAAATGGTAAATGATCATTTGGATCAATTACAGGCTTTTAGCTGGCTTGTCTGTCATAATTCATGATTCGGGGCTGGGAAAGAGAACCAACAGCCTGCGTGCCAAAAAGGGGGCAGAGTTTGATGGAGTTGGGTGGACTTTTCGATGCCATTTGCCTCCACACCTAGAGGAATAAGCACTTTTGCAGACATTGCGGTGGTGCAGGGGAGATCATGTTTGACTGTATGGATGTTCTGTCAGTGAGTCCCGGGCAAATCCTGGATTTCTACACGGCGAGCCCGTCTTCCTGCATGCTCCAGGAGAAAGCTCTCAAAGCATGCTTCAGTGGACTGACCCAAACCGAATGGCAACACCGGCACACTGCTCAATGTAGGTTTATTTTTTTCCCTTCTTCTACCAAGCAAAAAAAAAAAAAAAAAAAAAGAAAGAAAGAAAAAAGAAAAAAAGAGAGAGAGAATGAATTGTCTCTCTTGCATGCAATAAAGACATTGGAAACAAACTAGCCCTGGTAGCAAGACAAAGGGTTTAATGATTTAAGGCTGGAAGGGTGTGATATGCTGGCGTGTGCATATTGATCCCCTCTGCTGAGATTTTCCTGTAAGATGTTTTCTTCCCAAACATCCCCTCCCGACCCCCGCTCCTCCTCTCCTTACCAACCTTTGCAGCCTCTTGAAAAACAGTTTTGTTATTTTTAAATCTGCATGGAGTGGGGGTAAGGGGGCAAGGAGAGGGTGACCACAGGACTTTGAAACATTCTTCAAGTAAGGCGGTTTGACACATTGTGCAGTTTTGTTTTGTTTTTACTGAGATGTATGCAGATGGGAATTTTACTTTGCTGTTCTTGGGATTAGCTATGGGTTGTGTATATTCCCCCCCCCCCTTCCCCATGTGTCTCCACAGTCCAAAGTAATTAAAATATGACATCTCCCTTGCAAGGAACTTAGCCTGATTAAGACGGCTCGCGGCTCCTGAAGTTCATAAGCCACCCGTTCAAGCGGCAGCCCCCAATGTTTTCCTTGCGAAGGGAAGGCAATATTTCTTAGCATTGACCCTGCTGCCACCTTTCCGAGCCACTTTGTTGCTCTAAGAAGTTGCTGTTTTGCTAGAAAACTACTGGCAATGAACACCCCTTGGGCTGAGCCATCCATTATTTCCCATATCTTGCGATTCAGGCAGGAACCTGGACATGGGATACAGGGGAGGAAATATAAGCGAGGTAGCCCAGCTTTTGCTTTAAAAAAAAAAAATTGACTATTTGGTTATCTGATGCTGACACGGTGCCGAGGCACGCATCTGGTCAACAGTAGCCTGGCTGCTGGCTTGAGAAATGGCCAGAAGTCCCAGGAAAAATCCCACCTTCGGTGGCTGTGGTGGGAGCCTGCAGGATGCATCTGAGCCCTGACAGTGATTTAGATAAATGGCTGAGCTATCTATCACCATGTTTTTAGTACTTTATTTGACAATTCATTGGAGCATTAGCCTGAAAATGACATTTTAAATCTTTGTTTTCAAAGGGGTCAAGGTTTAACTGGGAGAAATGGAGTTTTCCTAAGAACAGGGTGGCTTATCTAAAGAGAGGGGAGAAGAAGGAAGAGGGGACAGGGACAAGATTGAAATTGCCCTCTCGGAAACTTTTCTTAAGGGAGAAAGACTTGCTTCTTGGGCCAGGAAATCAACAGGTTTGTCGCTGGAAAAAAAATCAATAACCGTTTGATGCCAACAGTCTGGCTTGTCTGGCTGAATATTTTGTCGAGCCTTAACCAGGGCAAAAATAAGATCATTTTCAGAAGGCGACTTCATCGTCAGCTGTTCCCCAAATGCCTTTTCTTTCCTGCTTCCTAGTTTCTTTCCAGAGAAGGCAGAGAAACTTAGCGTTACAAAGTAATTGTCCAATTTCCTTTTAGACCTGTCCTCTCCAGCAGTTAAAACTGGGGTGAACCATCTCATCTGGGGTCTCAGGGAACTGGGGGGGGGGGGGGGTGTCTCTCAAACTTCTTGTAGGAGAAACATCTTTATTTTTAAGAAGGGGGGGGGGGGGGATGCTGAAGACCCTGGCATAAAGCTATTAGACCCTAATAGAGCTTTTACAAGCAGGCATTCTCCCTTTTGTCATTAACCCTCCAAACAGGCCCATTAAGTTGTAGGAATAGGGGGAAAAGCTTTGTTTGTTCTCGAACAAGTTAAACAAGGGATTTTTCTTATCTGGGAAGAGGAGTGGTAAATGTGTCATTCGCCTCGGGCCAGTCGATAAGCAAGAAGTGTTGATAACAGCAGAGTTCAGCTAATCAAAGAAGCTTGCATTAGGAAAAGTAAATAAAGGCGTTGGACAAAGGGATTTCAGAAATTCCAGCGTCTTATTTTTGCAAAGCAGGGCAATTAGAGCTTGCTGTGGTCAGTTTCACAAGGGTTGGAATCCCACACCCTAACTTGGGGTTTAAGTGAATAAAACGTAAATACTGCTTATATGCACCATTCAGGCTGCTTTCTCCCCCATAAACCTCGTTCAGACTCGTCAGTGTAGCTAGCTGTTCAAGGGACTCAGTTTTTAAGCATAAATAAAAATTCTAACACATGTCTGCCAGGAGGGGTGTTTGGTTCAGAGGGGCATAACTGGCTAGCTAGGGCTTTTGAAATAAAAGCATATTAGGGCTGCTAGGTTTGTATACGTAAAACATAAAAGCCACAACCTTTTCCATTTTACTTAATGACTGTTTTGACGAGAAGCAGATCTGTTTGTGCTCTTAAAGCAGAGGAAACAGTGGGCAAAGTGGGGGTGCGGGGAGAAATAGTACTAAATTCCACCCAAAACCCCTTTCTGTTTTGAGATCCTACTGTTGTTGTTTTTTTTTAAAACAGTGTGTGTGTGTGTGTTGTGTTGTGTGTAGTACTTAGAGTAAACCCTTTGAATACAAAATATAGCAGAAGCTTTTCTCAAAAGGTGTTAGACTATTGTTTTGCTTTTTCTTAATTTTTAATTTTCGAGGCAGAAAAATGATATGTCAGCCAGCTGCTGTTGGAGGAGGGCCTATAAATTGCTGGTTATAAAAATGCGAAGTCAGGATTAGTGGGCTACTAAGGGAATGTGCATAAATAATGCGATGGTGAGACTGCCCCTGGAAGGGATGGGGTCTCGAAGTTTCTGTTCAGATGCCTCTTGGATTATCTTGGGCTTTTAGGCTGCTCCAGATGTTTTCGGCATTCATTGCTCAGTGGGCATAGGACAAATCCTAATATCTGCGATCTAAATATAGTTGCTTTCAGTGAAATGAGTGTGACAAGTTCTTGGCCCCCTTCCCCATCTTTTCCCTACTCAACGCATCAAAGAAAAATAGGGGAGGGGGAGAATTCTTTTTGAAATGGTCTTTTGCCCATTAATGAGAAGGAATAATCTATGGTTGTTGTTTTTTTAAAAAACAGCTGTGGTTCTGTGTGATGAAGGAATGAAAAAAGTGCCCTTCTCAGAGAGCTGGGACCTGAATTTTAAGTATTAAACAATATCTAAATCCTCTCCTACTGAGATATAAATTAGGGTCAAAGTGGCAAAATCAAAGATACCCTCTGAAAGAGAGACTAAATAAAGACTGACAGCCACCGTACGAATTGATTGGGGTTTTGAATAAATATTTCGGTGAAAAGGCTCAATTGTTTTTCTAAAGGAGGACATAATTTTCTGCTTCTCGGCCACATGACGGTGGTAACCAATACCACCAGAAAGAAGAGAAGAAAGGGGATTTTTGCTTTAAATCTCAGAGGGTGTAGGACAGGGTCAGTTGAAAACAAGTGGAAGATTCACAGACTTTTCTTCCCTGAAGGAAAAAATAGAGATTTACTAAAATAAGTGTTGCCTGTATCCGATACCTGGGTGCTTTGGGTAGGGAGCTATTGATGGGCAACTTAGGAGAAAAAAGTGCACGAGTTTACATTTCATCACCAGAAAAACGTAGATTCCAAAAGTAAAACAAAACAGTAGGAGCCGTAGGCATCTGTGTGCTTCAGCCTGGCCTATGGAACTGGTTTAGAAGCTCTAGTGAGTATTTGATTTTCCAGCTCAAAGGCAGAGTCTTTGCATTGGAATGGGCCTCTTCCCTCCCTCTTAGCCCCCTTAGTAGATAAATGATCAGAATGGCAATTTCTGATAGGTTAGCTGACCTGACTCAGAAGTTTTCTTCTCGTTTCTGAAAGCCTGGCTTGGACCCTATATAACCAGTCACTGTTGTCATGAACTTTCGTTCACAGCATAAAAGTCAAAGAAAGTTCTGGATATCAGATGTTTATAATTTCCTTTCAGCATGGTGAGCCCCTGAGTTGGCTGAAAAGAAAAACCTTACCGTTTTATTCTTTATCTGTTCCATCAACATCAATAAAGGCTTTCAGAGGGGAAATAGCATGATGAGGATGATAAATTCTGCTCTCAAGGAACTTATCATCTTTAAAAGCAAACTCATTTTTTAAACGCTAGAAATGTTTCCTTGGGAAGGAGCTCTCTAGGAGGCAGATAGAGATGTAAAACCAAGATGCAAAAGAGAAAACTTATTTTCGAGTGGCACAGGACTTATTAAAAACAATACGGGCAGTGTTCCCTTTAGAACCTCTTAAGAATCTTCCATAGAGTTGGAGTTGCATGTAACCGCCAATAAATTTATCCTCAAATGACACTTTTATCCTTTAAATGTTCTAATATAAATCCAGTTAACTATCAATTAAATGGGCCATTTCGGAAATGGGAGTTTTGATGAAGGTTAATCAGAAAAAAAGTCTTGGCTAAAACACCTTTCCAGGAGATATTAATGTGGAATCTTGCCTTTCAAATTATAGGGCAGTTATGGCAATCATATATCTCTGATGCTCTAGAATAACCCGCCTTCCAATAGACGGCCAGAGTTCCCACGTAAATCATTGAAATATGCCAGCTATTTCGATATTGGGACATTTCCTAGGCTGCCCCTTGAACCCAGGAGGGGCACAGAGAGTCTTTGTTTGAATTCGATGGTCAGTGTAACCAGAGTGTTCACAGCTTCATTTTTCCGTTATTACTGAAGGTCTCCTCGTGCTTCTGGGTCGATCTTGGGAACGTGCATTCCTTTTGTGGCAATTCTTTTTGTGCGAACAGAAGGCATCTCTTGCAAAATGCTTTTAAGCATTGCGATGGTAGTTCTGACTCCAGCACGTGTGTGTGTGTGTGTGTGTGTGTGTGTGTGTAGTCAGGGAAGGGGTAGAATTATTCAGTTGCATTACTATGAACCATCTGTATCCGTTCTTCTCCAGCTTCGCCTTAAAAAGTTGGGATTGGGGGTGATGGAGAGAGGAGCGCAGAGGTAACTCGGGTTTCAGATTTATCAGGAGCCTGTCTGTAAGTGTCTCGGCCTAAG